TGTGTGTGTGTGTGTGTGTGTGTGTGTGTGGGTATGTGTACGATTAAAGTTAAATGAAATGAATATTATTTCACCTGCGTCGACGAATAGCTAAAGAAATTCGTTAGATCTCGTTAGATTTTATTATATAAATCTACGCACGCCGATCGAAGCTATATACTGCGAAGCCGACGATCTGCTACAGAACACGTTATAGGTAAGTACTACAAAATTTTACGTAAGTCCACTTTCCTCAGCTTACGACATCACTCTCATTCAGTTGTACTCAGAATCTCCCACTTAGGGTGTTTCTGATGCACTTACAATCTGAACAATCACATCGTGACCTCGGTTAGTTTCTAAGTTGCGAATAATATTACGTATTGTTTGTCTACTTTCATCAATCAAATTGACACTTAAACTACCTACACATAATGCTTTTAATCGAATTTAACATTAAACGTTCAAATAACGGACAAGTTAGCTGAGCAGTAAAAATATGCACAAATCTGGCTTACAATGGAGAGATGTTATCTACACAACATATATAATACTACAAAATATTCCAATTACTATTATTATTATTATTATTATTATTATTATTATTATTATTAGATATATATAAATACATTATTGCATTATAATTAATTGTACAGGTTCCTCACCGTTTTTGTCTTCAATTAATTACGTGGTTGCCTTCCAAAATAAGTTTTGTAAATCGGATAAAGGATTAAACAGAATTGATATAAATTAATTACATCTCTTTTTATAGAAGCAAAATCAATATTTCTTCATTGGTCACATAAAGTAAAATTAAAATAACACAAAGAACGTAATTTGATTTTATTTAGTAATCATCGGCTCGTATGAGATCGCATCTATTACGTCTCCTTTTCTGCAATTACAAACTTGTGAACCACAACCTGAAATTTACGAGTGACTGCGCGTTTATTCTTTTCCCTTGCTTTCTCCATTCTCCATTCGACTTATTCTCTGTGCTGTTGCGTTCATCGTTGCGCATCATTGTCCTGAACATTGTTCATCCTGCTCGCTCTACTGTCGCGATGCGCTGCGCCGCGTCACGCAATGCACCCCTTCGTATAGGGGTGAAACGGATCGATTGCTGGGCTGCATCGTGTCTCCTCGACAACGCGACGCAACGCGGAACATTTTCCGCTTTGACACGCCCGGCATCGTCGTCGTTGTCAATCGACCGGCGCGGATAGACAGCCGATTGATGATTGTGCATTACGTGGATACAAAATTCATTTCGGCGACGTCTTCTACCAAGCTGCTCGCGTCCTCGCGAGGTGGTTGAACGTCACGGTCGCGACGGCGGCAACGGCAGTAGTAACGATGGCGATAGCGGTGGCGGCAGCGGCGGCGGCATCGGCGGCGGCGGCGGTGGCGGTGGCGGTGGCAGTGGCGGCGGCGGTGGCGATGGCGGTGGCGGTGGCGGTGGCGGCGGTGGCGGCGGCGGTGGTGGCGGCGACGGCGGCGGCGGCGGCGGCGGCGGCGGCGGCGGCGGAGACGGCGGCGACGGCGACGGTGAAGGCGACGGCATCCCGATGTTGGCAGGCGCACCCGTACACTCTCCCTCACTGAAGAATGAGAGAAGAACGACGGCAGCTTCAGTCGGCACGCGGCGTCGCGACGCAAGCCAACCTATATACATCGTACTAAATATGTACTCGTGTACTCATCATTTAGTTTGGAGTTCACAATTAGTCAAACCGTCGATTTTTCTAATATAAATCACTTTGATAAGTCTGGATTACTGATCGAAAAATGCGTGGAAGCTGAATATAGTGGAAACAAAGCATCATGAATCGGCGCCCCAATCTTTCCTCATCGGGTAAGTCTTATTGCTAATATTTATTTTGCTACTTTCGGAGCGGAAGCAGCCGAATAAGTATCAATAATTGAATATTATGACTACTATGAGATTACAACCCCTAATAAATATAAAATCTAATAATAAATATTGGTCAATTTTTTTTTCCTTATGCAAATTGCATTTTTTAAAAACATTCAATAGTCTTGCAAATTTTCGAAGACGCGGCTTGAATTTGGGGTATACGTTTTTCGAGATCGAAATGAATTGAGCCAAATCGAACGATTTGCGACAATTAATTTTGGTGTGAGAAATCATTGTCGGTTATATGACAAATGAAACATTTCTTTCTAATTGTAAGATGAAATAACCCGACGCAAGGTCGTGGGGTACGCCCATGCATGAGGTCAACATAGTACGCTCACACTATCATTTGTAAATGCAAAGAGCACGTCGATTAAATGTGGCGGGAATAATTAACACTCCGTACACGGCCAACACGCGTCAAAGAGAATAATTTTGTTACATCAAAAAAGCTTTGGTGTATAATTAAAGATTCAGACGTGTCTATACTTGAATTAATAATTTCTTCAATAGATTAACTTCAATCATTTCTTGCTTATTAATCTGCAGTTCTCATATTTCCATTATCAAATTGACACATTTGCAACAAACAGATAGAGACATAAGCATATTTTACATTTACAGAATATTTTTCTCCCTTCGCCATGTTTAAATTTCTATTTACAATAAAATTTAAATGATTAATGAACTTAAATAAAAACGGCTGTATTAACAGTCGAAGATTATTATTGATTGTTATTGAAGGAACATAATTTTCTTTGCGACTATTAACATAATCGTTTCATTTTAAGTTTATTAGTTTAATTATTGAAATTTTATTGTAAATATGGCAAAGGGAGAAGAATACTCTAATTTTACATGCGTAATCATGTTTCAAGAAAACAATCATATTTCTTCGAATCTATAACTATTGCTCTATATGTTGTCAAAAAATATAGGATAATTAACGTTTCTCTCACTTGCGTTTTACGAGAAACAATTTAAAGCAGTCGAAAGATTTGACTTAAGAAAGCTAACTTTGGATTTTATGTGTGCCATACCTAACTTTCTTTTAATCCGCGTCTGATTGTGAATTGCGATACTTACACGATTAACTATTCGTGCAGGATGAGTTGTTTTGAAAGGAACATTCTCGTTCCTTTCAAAGTCGACTCAAGTTACGGCTGTTTGAACCTTTTTAATCGTCCCAAAACGATGTTCGACACCATTTCGGAACGATGTAGATCAGACCATGAATTCAGAATTAATCATCATTAAAGCAATATTATACATACATATTAATGATATTATCACAACACAAAAAACAAATTGTCTCTTTATAGATATATGTATATTCTTACATACCTCATACGTGCATAACTTTACACGCTTTTCTGATGCAACTGCGTTGCTTCGCTAACCTTACATTAAATATATAAAGACGCATACCGCTGCATCTTCCATCGAAAGGAAAAAATAGAGAGAAAGTAATTTTACCTGGTAGAAAATGCCTGCGTTTAAAGGGGAGCATGCCAAAGAGACTCTGAGGCTGGCAATTCTAAAAAACAAACGGTTGTTATATGTATATTCATGCGGATATACATATAGTGCACTTGCTCGACTCGTACTCGGTCGGCCGTGTATATCGTACAAAAGAGCGGAAAGAACCACGTTGCGATTTGACTTAAAAAAGCTAACTTGCATTTTATGCGTGCCATGCTTAGCTTTCTTTTATCCGCATTTGATCTTTAATTATTGCTTTAATTTTATAAAGGATACGCCAAACTGTAGGCGCGCCAATTTGTTTACTTGTTTTCGTTTCCATTATCGCTATTTTATTATGCAGTTTACTCATTTTCAGTTTACGCCATGCTCGTTCTGTTATTCCGTTTGAACTTTTTATCTACTGCAATCAATCATCTCTAAAGAGAAAGCAACGAGAGAATTAACGAATTTACATTGACTTTTCGAATTTATTACGTGCATGTATTAATTTTTTTTTTCAGTAAATGGAAAATCAACATGTGATACGCATTTGCCTTCTGGCATTATTTTGTTAATCTCATCTTTTCACATCGAATTTATATACTGGTCTCATTGTCAAATCATTTTTTAAATTGATTGACGTTTGTTAATATTATCTATTAGCGCGCGAAATCCGCTAACACAGATTATATAGACAGACATGTGGCACAACAGCGATAGATGCTCCAAAAAAAAAAAGGATAGTGCCGCCTCCACTTTAATCTTTCAGAGTGAATATGAATCGTCGAATTGACAGACGATATTCAATTTCATCCCAAGATTGCAACCTCCGATTTCCAAGCTTTTACATTCCGCACGCGATACAATTCGACTCGAGTTTCCAGATTTTTTTATCAAGTGTTTAGGTATACCGTTAAGAGAGTTAAACGTAAGAAATTTTATTCTGCAAATATTCTTGATACATTGTACGTTTGAAAATTGAGAAGGTGGGTATCAAGCGAGCGCTCTCGAAAAGTGTATAGCAATGAATCTGCAGAACGCGCTTTCTCTCGCGCGTTAAAAAATATCTCCTAACGGTAACGGATAACATGAAATGGAAATTTTATCCACAATTCGAAAATTTTTATATATCGCGTTGCGTCAAAGCTACGTTGCGTTACGCTACGCGCAATGTAATTTAAATTACAGTCAAATAATTTCAGGTATAAAACAGTTTCTTCTTTAGAAGTTTAGAAGTGCATCAACCTTCAAAAATTTAGCCTATATGAATTATATTTTTCCTAGCGTATGGAGTGTTTCAAAGAGAGTGACGGTATCTACACGTTCGATACACTAAGGGGGTATTGCTCCACTATAAACCCAGATTCTATTTTTGGCATACAGGTTGCATCTAGATTTTAGATGCGCGTATCGTACCGCTTCACATGACTGCGCGAATTTTTTATCCCAACTTTTCAATTGTAGAACGTTATTTATCGCGTACTTTGGAATTGTACCTGGCTATTTTACCGGGATCCACTGAGAGAACCTGACATGATCGAGTATGTAAAAGAGCTTCTTGCTTTTTCCTTTGTTACGCCCACTTTGCCATGTTCCAAGTGATCTAGAAGCAAAAGACCGACGTTGAATATCACGTAAAAAATATATACATATAATATGCTTATCAACGTTACTCATATGTATACCATCGTGAAAAACTTCTAAACTAGATTAACTTAATTAGACAAATTCTGACAATTAGTAAACTATACAACATCGGATATCTTTAATTAATAAAAATAACATTAATTATAACGTAGAAATTTAACAGATAAGCAAAATAAAAAAGTTACGTTATCAATAGTTCTATTATATACATACGCGCAATTCTTTTCTATTTTTATTTTTATGTATACATATATACAACCACCACATAAAAACTAAAAAAAATTATTATAATAATAGATAATATCATCTATAAATGGACAAAAAATTTGATGGTTGTATGAATAATAATACTAATAATACATAAATTTGTATAAAGTTGTATAAATGAGATGTGTGTGTGTGTGTGTGTGTTTTTGTGTGTATTGTATGTATAACACAAGATGAAAATAGCTTGATAAAATGAAAAATTGAACATCAATGCACAATACGTAGCTACATACAAAAAGATATGTATTAGGTATGTATCTGAATGAACGTGCACAAAAGCCAGGCAATGCCGGAATTAATTGTTAATACGAGAATGTCGTAGATCTCGATTTATTCAATGTGATTTTGCGAAGCTAATCAAGGCCTCGTTATGCCTACATAAGTGATAGAACTATGATGTGCTGTTTAACCTTGCATTACATGCCTTTGTACATTTCCTTTGCGTTATTGGATTTTTATTGATGAATTTATTCGAACAAAACAAAGATATTTTCATCATGGTACTCGAATAATGAGATTTAAATCTTGTTGATTTAAATATTCCGCACATATACACATTCAAATTAGATTTATTCGAGTTCATTCAGTTCATTGCAAGATTTCATTATACTTGGCAGACAAGCCGTATACATTTACGTAGAAGAATAAGTATGAAATATTTATCATATTATAGTGTGATTTGTGTACAATAAATAAATATTATCAAAACAAACTGCAACGTGACTAATACATGTTTCAAGCAAGGCATAATAAAATTTCGGTCGATGCTATGCGCGAGTCTTTGAAGATGTTTCTGAAGAGCGTGATAATGATAATAGCAGGTTTCGCTCAAGTACTGTGAAATTGTCGATACTAGATACTAATCACAGTGGTTGCAGAAAAAGTAAAAGGCAATTTGTAACAATCAAGATGCGTCGTTTACATACACATATAGACACGTGTGTGTATAATAATATGTATGTATGTGTGTATACATGCGAATATGAATAACGTGGGTGAAAATTTTTCGCCTACGTTATTGAATTCTTGATATACTTTATTTAACGCCATACCAACATGAAATTTATTTGTCACCGACGCATTTCGTTCAATTTTGTTGCCTCTGCTGCGCGCCGCGATGTGTGATTTTGGGTGAACGTGATTCTCATATACAAATGGAGATTTACAAAGTCTTTTGTAAGAGCGAACGCAGAGCGTTCTCCCACATGTATTATATGATTTATATACGTGAAACGTGCATAATCGATAGACTAAAAATTCTATACTAATAAAAAGTAATTGAATTTTGGATGCAAGTTAATTTATTTTAAAAAATAATAGAGAAGAATAGTGGAAGGGAGAGGAAGAAAGAAAGAAAGAGAGAGAAGGAATTAATTTTAGGATACATGAAAACGCAATTACGTCAAATATGTATATTTATATGTTTAAATTTTTTCTTTCCTCTTTTCATTTACATATACATCGGTTAAACACAAAAATTGTGGTATTATATACCTACTAAAATTAGATGCTAAAACTACAAATATACATAATTATCTCAAAACAAAATTTTTTTATAAATTTTTTTATAAATTTTTTTATAATAACATTACGATAAAAATATATATCTGCATGCGCACACACACACATCCACACACGCGCGTGCACCTACTTGTAAAAGATAATCGTTTATTGATGCACTCATTGAAGATTAAAAATTGATCGCGACCGCGAGCATGGATGGAGCTATCTAGTACAGGGTCAAGTGCATCAGACATCAAAGCCAATTGTTTGCATATCTATTTCTACGAATGTCGGTAGACGCATTTGTATACATAAGCACATGCGCACTCCTGGATATATCTCTCAGATATTTTTTGAATAAAAATACAATGTTAAAAATAATATTAAGCGTTATACGTAGACGCGAATAGTTTTATGTTGTACGTTATAGTGAGTTGTATTAGCGCAAAGTGTAATTAATAACGTAGTTTTTAAAGTTTTTCGGAAGAATGGATAATGTAACAGCGATTAGAGAAAGATTTAAAAAAAATTTATAAAGATAGACATAGATTTAGATTTTTATAAAGATAGACATTTGTATGAAATACGTAAAGTTAACTTACGTGAATGTTATATAATACTTTAATTTTACAATAATAAATTCCTATAAGATTTCCGATATTAAAAATAACATGTTCTTGTTCTTTATTTTTACTCTCTATATTTAAATATTCGAGGCTATACAATACATCCAGCTCTTCAATGCTTGAGCGATATTAGAGAAGAATTTGGCAATTCCCTCATCAATCAAGCGATCAAGCGAATGACTTCGACTTATTTTATATTCATTAAAGATGGCTAAAAATATAAGTCGTTTGAAATACCATATATATCAGAATAAAATTCTTTGTTTTTTATAATATTACTAGCACTACAAACGCGCGCTATTTAACACTTCTTACTATAATTTATAATTACATCAACCTCAATACACACAACTGTCAAAATGCAATGACAGCCGCTTACACGAAAAAATAGGAGGAGACTTTTTAAGATAGGAAACTCCGTATTATTAATCGCATGGACCACACCTGATTCCCATTGCCTTCTTATATTGTTACCTTATAATTTTAATTTGACATTAATAATATTAACGTAAATACATAGAGATAATTTTTATTTATTGTCCGCAATTAATAAAGATATTAAAAAGTAAGAAACTTTATGGATTAAAAATTATATAAAGGACATATGAAGGCGATATTGTGTTATGCGCTATCTCACAGGCGACTTTTAATCAGCTATCACATGCAATCGAAACTTCGTAAAAGAATTATGAATCCGATTTTATCAAAACCCAAATTGATTGACATTTGGTTCGCTAGGTCACATTAGGTTACACTACGTGTCCAAAAATAAAATTTTCAACTAATAATTTACAACTAACTGTAAGTAAAAAGAAATCAACTGCAGGGTGGTTGGTACATATCTATATCTACTTTTTGAGAAAATACTAAAAAGGAAGAGAATTAGCCAATATTTTCTTGGATGCTGCAGTAAATAGACAATCGAAGTGAAAAGTAACTTTAACGACCATGGCCTTCTGGGAAATCTGAGAAGCGGCTAGGGAGGAAAAACGTTGGCAACGGGTTCAAGGCCGGAGACGCGACGTGACGCGGACACGACGCGACGTTGAGCGCCACTTCGTCTCCACGTGTCGCAACATAAAATTCTTGTTCCGACAAAATTACACATTAGACAATGATTTATTTTTGTATTGGACATCTGATAATCTACAATTTTTTTTAACTAATTGTAAAAGATAGAAATTTTTTGACAAAATTTAAAGTTGTTTCTTTTTTGTTAAAGAATATTCTAAGATGCTACGACGCTTTATTTTGACTTTTTAATGCTATTGAATATTAAATAAACATCTTAATAATTAAACTGCAAATTTTGATTTTAAGAAATAAAAAGTCCATCTAAGTGCAGAATTCAAGTGAATAATAATAAAAGTATGTTTTCTCTAAAGAGAAGCTTCTTTATCTAGCAGCTACATCTTAATTTTTACGGAAGAAACGCTCAGTTTCTTTCATATGAAAGCCAGTTAATTTGTCAAGATTCAAATATTCGGAGTTTATCATGTTTATTATTACAGGCTTCGATAGCGAGCCATTAACATGAGTATAAACATATTTTCGCATTAATAGAATATGTAATAATGTATATTATCCATCGTAAATGTTAACACAATGTATACATAAGTAAAGATGAAAATTATTTCGTCAGAAAATGCAGAACACGTTGCAATGATAATTCAACATGTTTGTATAGAAAGAAATCAATGCAGAATATATGACATCCTGTCATTTTTAAGCAATTAGTAAAAGTATACAATGATATATTTTATCATACTAACTGAGAGATACGATATTAATGCAATTCAATATTTTAACAATTATTTTTTTATTTTATATCTACATAAAATTATCTCCGCCGTGAGAATGAAAATTTATCGCTTGTCTTTTGTATTTTGATCTTTTTATTTTTTATGTTTGAAATTAAATATATATGACATATAAAATGAATGAAGTGTATTTTAGATTTTTCTGTAATCACGGTAATATAATTTGTGCGGCGCAAATCCTTAATCACAAACACGTATTTCTAACAGTATTAGCGCAAAGTCAGCGTTGTAAACGCGATTCATTCTAACACGGTGTGTATATTCATTTTATATTACCGATCCACATATCGAGATCATAAATCACGAGTCGAAATGAAAAATTATAACATATACTGCAATATACGTGCGCAATATTAGCTCCATTCTTAATTAGTGTCTCTTAATCCGTGTCTCGTTAACAATTATTAAACAAACAATTTACATGTCTCGATAGATTTGAAAAGTTTTAAGATAGGCAGCTTGGGACAAATCGATATTTCGCGTAATCATTCGAGGTTCAGTGTTCTCACGAAGGCTCTTGAACATATTATACTCATGAGATACCTTCAATACGGGCGACCCGCGTCAACCTAGAACATTATGTATGTACGTATAGCATGTAAACGAGCATTGTGGAACAATGACAATACCTTCCAAATCTCACTAACAGAAATTATTCGTCAGTGTTTCGATGAAGGACAAGTTATTTCGTCATCTAGGGCTTCGCTTGATCTTATACAACCTAATTAAGCAATCCATTCACGATCAAACATTTTACGCAACAAACAATGTCAATGGGCCTCTTTAGTAATGTCAATGTTGCGAATTAGCATGCCATGCTAACATGAGCTAATTTTTTAAATTATATTTGAGCAATTTTTTATCGAATTTTAATATGTTTTCATCTCCTACATTATACATGCTGCATCATACTGTCGGTTTATTAACATATTTAGGCGCATTCACTTTTAATTGCGTACGCACATATTTACAAGCGTTAATAATAGAATTATACAATGGATAATAATGTCGGATGATTTCACAGACATCTATATCATTGATTATAAATCAATGTATTTTTTTGGAAGGGATATATTTTGAATGATTATAAATAAACATTTATAATTATTACCTTACAGAGTGAAAGTTCGGAAACTTTTGGAACAGACCGTATGTATATTATGTTTTTGCACAATTATTTACATTTAACAAAATTTTCATATAAAATTATTTTAAAAATATTGAATTTATTGAATTAAAAAATCGATATAAGAATTTTTACATTTTACATTTTATTTATTACAAGATAATTATAATTAAAATTTAAATAAAATATCAAAACGTAATAAATTTAAGATCATATCGGCGAATAAATGTGAACAAGGGCAATGACACAAGTATTGTATAATTTTCAAAATATGTACATGTAGTAGATTAATTTAATATATATAGAATAATTATATTTATTTCAACATTGTTCTTGGTGAAAAATCAGTATATTTTAAATTCGTATTTTATTCCAGCTCGTATCTCTCAATTCATTCTCGAATCCGTTGCCAGGTTACCGAAACTTTTTGTAAAACAAAATCACCACGAATGATCTTTATCTAATCAATATGTATAGAAGCAATATCACACAATTAAACAATTCTCTTACATACACAATATATATAATATAAAAGAATCTGTGTGTGTGTGTGTGTGTGTGTTCAATTGTTCATATACATATTGCTGCAATCGAAACAATATCTAATTAAAAGAATATCACAATCCATACATGTACGTACATGTATAAAAAAATAAAAAAAAAATTTATAAAATTAATTAATTAATTAATTAATTAATTAATAAAAGTTCAATTCTGGAACAGCTAACATTTATTCATAACATTCATAAACATATTTTTTTGAAGATGTTATCAGTCTAAATATTAAAATACGAGGTTGCTCTTATAATGCACGTGTTCTATTTAGCAACAAACGCGACCGAACCTTAATTTGTGCCGTTAATTTTTAACCGACTATTAAAAATATGCATCGATACGATTTATGGTATATCCTCACAAGGCGAGGAGGATGAAAAAGATGCGGTTGTTAGTTGTGGGTGTTTCGTGGCGCCGTGTTGGTGGTGACGCAAACATTTGATGTACATACATCATCAAGCGTAGGTACCATCCATAACGCTATTCAGTAGCTCGCGTGCTCAACGGTGTATACATCAAGTAAACAGTACCGATTAAAAGCCTGTAGAGCTAGATGCTCCGATAAGTTTTCATTCAAGTTAATTGCATCCTATAATAAATTATACTTTATGCTGAATTACGTAAACGTCAATATATTTAAATCCCAAGTATCTGACGATCGAATAATTATCCAAGCCATTATTGAGAGTATGAGTTATTATTTCGTCGCATCACAAATTTATTATTCATGTACTAGCGGTAATAATTAAAACATAAAATTTATTCTGTAATTTTTCTGTAATTTAGTCTGTAGTCTGTTTACAGAGAATAGAGATATATCATTGATATACTTTTACGATATCAATCAAATTAAATTTCTTTCGTCTGATCTTCAGAAGTTTTTCCGCGGTCAAATTTAAATACGACATATTATTATTCCGATTTTCTTTAACTTGTAGCTTTACTTTTGATCTTTGTCCAGAATGTTTAGATCAGCGGATTTCGAAAAACATATACTTACACACAGTACATTGATTATTTTGATTTATCTCTCGAAACAATTTTGCAAAGTCTCGTGATAATAACGTTAAATTCGATTTATCAATATTTGGCATGTTTTTTCAGGCGATTTTATTTTTTATTTTAGATATAGCCAAACAGTTTTTCTTTTATAAGAAAAATAAATGTTCTTTTATATTAGTTTAAATGCCAGGCTTTTGCTACTTTGTATAAAAAAAATTATGAAAGATCGCAAGGCTAAGACATAACGATAACAAGATGTCATTGATTTATTTATGGAATAAGTGCAAAATCTCAAATCGAGATTGCCTAATATCAAATGGAAATTAGTACGCGAGTCATCGACACGATTTATAAGTGATACGCTTGGGAAATGTGCTGCACCCTTGAATTAATCTTCCCCCGATCGAATATAGAAGCCGCTGTATTTGCGATATAGTCAGAAATGTGGCAAATTCGTAACACCAGTAAACGCGCGATAGGTCAGAGAAATTAGGAATGCTATGTGAGATTCCATTGGCGGTCGATATATCGACGGTAGATTAATTAATATACACGAGATGCTGATGCTGATTTTCCATTCGATATGCCTGCATAGTTCATCTCACATATCTTGTAACACATGTATTCTAAACTAAATTCTCAGGTGTAAGCAAGGTAAATTTTCTACATCATTAATTTATTTATGATTGAACAGAAATGTATAAAAACATTAAATTATTGCGTGAGGAATTGAACTAGATATAATCACGATAAATATTATACTTTTAATTCCTCCCAAATTGCATAAATCCAATAAAGCATAATTATAAAATTAAAATTTTATTTCAAGTCATAATTTTGAATTAGTAAATTCAAACGCTTGGCATAAGCAATGTAATAAATGTTTGCAAATTGATTTGCATTTTTTTTTTATAATTGAGAGAATGTATATTTTCCACAATAAGGAAATATCTATTTAAAAACTTTTTACTAATTTCAAGCGCGTATAAACGTATAAACAAAAATCAATTTCTTCAATTTAAAATTGTTCTTTCTTTCAAATAAAATAAAATTAACAATTATTTATTTTTACTTTCTAATTTGTGTATTACTTGTTATATTGATATTATGGTCAGTTATTAATTGTACTGCAAACAATTTATTATCCAGTTTAGAGGATAAATAATGATCTACTCTATTAATCGAATTTTTTTTACATAAGTCATCTTTGCTGAATATTAAATGTTTCAAACTTTGAAGAAATTGGATTCTTTTCGGCCAACATTCTTGCTTCCTGCACTTTTAAATTAAGCAAGAAACAATTACCAGTGTTACACTGCCACCGATATCGATTATTTAAATTTCGCATTATCCGTCAATTTCCTGTTTTCATCGTAAGAAATGTCGCATTCCAGCACGTAATATTAGAAATTGCTTGCCCGCTTCTCGGCCGGATATTAACACTGGAAGTTGATGTTTAGTCAATACCGACAAATTCCAGAAATTACGTCTCGAAATTCAGAATTTTACGTTTTCCCTTCTATACACTTGATGCAAACGTTTCGCGGAATAAATTTGTCGTTATTCATACAGTTTGACCAAAGTTGATATAAAGTCTGCGTTATAGTAAAAAAAATTGGTACTTGATTAAATTGGGACTCGAAGTCATGATGTATGTATAAAGTCATGAAGTGTAAAGTGACATTTACACAAAGTACAAAGTACATTTACACAATGTAAAATTTACACAATGATAAATTTGAGTAGATTTAGGCGACAAAAGTAATCGTAACCGTTGTGTATTGTATTCTGTATCGAATGAATTTACATGACTACATTACGTTTCTCTTAACAAGCGTCTTAACTAAGGGCTAAGCGGTATGTTCGCTCGTTGTGTTGAAGATTTGTCACGGAGATATTTACATCGCAAGGACAAGACGATTAGCAATGCATAACTTGATGGAATCTAAATCTGAATATTCATATATCGTCAATGAGTGTAACAATGAGTGACAGCATTTCATGCGCGGAATAAATATTCCGTTGAAACCGCCGTATATTTTTACTATTAAAAAGCTCATGTATATGTAAAAACAAAATCTACATATTTCGCTTTATCGGATAATCAATCATTCTATTTATTAACAAAAGAACTCGAGTAATCTTCTGTACGTATTTTTCAACCGTAACCATGGGAGACTTATGACTTACAATGATTTTAATATGCGAATATTTGTCTCTTTCCGACTCTTTTTTTCGTGAGTTTTAAAAGAGCAATAACATAAATAGATAAATATATTTTTTTAAGTTTTATTAAAATACTTATTAAAAAAATTAAAATTAATAAAATTTATATTTGACTTTATTACTGTACTGTTTCATTAAACTTTGATAAACTATTTTGTTAAATGCTGCCATTAAATGAACGATTATTTTTATATTCTTTTAAGAATAATGTAATCTATCGTAGCTCCTCTATATCGTAAAATTCGAAGTAATATACAGTTTATAATAAATCAAATTCTCTCAATCTTAATACAAACGTGTTCTATAAGCCACGATTAAATGATGAAGTACAATTGGAAAAAGATTCTGAAAAAGACAAATAGAGGTCCAATTCTTCGGAAATCGACTATCTGACGACTCGTTTTTACTGTCTATAGAAATAGGCAAATAGCTATTGCCGTTGCAGCTCAGCAAATAAAAAAGTTGTACATATACATATTATATACACATAATGTGACAAGACACGCGTTCTCGAAATCTGAAGCATTTGTCAGACGAATGTGTCACTTCTCACCGCTATAAGTAACGCAATTTATTTCCCATTCTGATGATTAACTTTAGCTTCCACGTGCGAAACGTCAACTGGAAAAAGATTCTGTTTTCATGTGTTTCTATTTATATAATATTGGTAAAAAAGAGTGCACGAAATGCACATCACTCAAAATTACTTTTCTATTGACATATTCGATCTGTTCATTTATATTACAAAATTATTTTTCCTCGAAGAACGAAATTTCTTTGTACTTTCCTATTTACAGAGCATCATTCAACATATCAAGTATATTCAACATATATACATTCGAAAGTCACAAAAAAGATATTTCTATTTTTTAAATTATAGAAATTATAATATAATATAAATAATTTGATAATTGGAAATAATAAAGTAAAATAAATAAAGATAGAAAAGTAATATTTTTTGTGTTGCTAGATTTTCTTTGCTATTTTTGTGTTGTACTTCGCGCAATTGAGCGACGCAGAAAGCAAAAAAAATGACTTTCGAGATTCTTATCCCCTACAAGACGTTTTCAATAGAGAGAGAGAGAGAGAGAGAGAGAGAGAGAGAGAGAGAGAGAGAGAGAGAGAGAGAGAGAGAGCGCACTGTTTCATAACTTAGCCACATTATGCATACAATTTACTTCTTTATATAATAGAAATTCTCGAAACTAGAGAGCAAAAGAAAATACAAGTTTTTTCCTCTTAAAAAAAAGGAGAAAAGGAAACCTCACAAGCGTTTAATCTTTTTAGTCCTTCACTTTTACATTTCTCATATCTGTTAACGTTGATATGAATGAAACAATAGCTTACCAAAGTTTATAATATTTGATGACACTCGGTAAGATTAACATAAGAGTAAGAGCATATTAAAGGAAATGTTTTTTTTTTGTAACATGTAAGTAAATTAATAAAGCCTAAAGCTTACGTTAGTTACGTTTCATTAATTACAATATAAATCCGTTGCTACTGCATCACACAATCCATATTACTCGATATCCCCGAAATAGAAATTCTCTTTGTCGCAATTTATTCATAGTAGCTTTTGCTGCCTCACTTCGCTTACTCGACCAAATAATCGATTGACGTAGACTGTAGATCTTATTTAGTGACAAAAGCAAAACTGAGGAGGCGAACATCTCGTTTAGCAAACAAAAGATAAAATCTCGTATCACGGGAAAAAATATCAATTTCTATCACGATTGTCATAACAACTTTATCGATTGCTATAAAAATATCTGTTAACAATTCAATGAAATCTAATTATAAATTAAGGTAACAATGATTAATAGATAAAGTAATACGCAAAAATTTATATATAATACTACATTTAATTAAACACCATGTATTAAAATTTATGCACTTTTGAATAATCTCGTAGCAATTTTAAAACGATATTCTTATTTTTCCGACTTTTTTGTTTGGACACAATTTTTCTACAAATTTTTAACATGCAATAATAAACGTCTAGAAAGTTTTTACAAAATATTTTTACTTTCTATAAGCCACTTCTGTCTGCGTGGTTGCATTACATGTTCTAATTATAAGTAACATAATATAATCACGATGATTTATTTATTTAATTAATCAATCTTTTTTGTATTTATGCCTTCGTTAATTATCAGCTTAATCCTATCTTAAAATTGCCGTGTTACCGGCGTTGAAGCCTCTTTCCCCAATGTTTAAAAATTCATATCTTCCAGAAAAATAAAGATATAGACTTCTTTCTGGGCTCATCTTAAAGATGAATTATGTGGCTATTTTTTATGAAATCGTGATTTTATTTAAAAATGGCCGATTAAAACGTAATTTTTTTTTTAATTTATTTTTTTCAAAAATTGTTAAAATTTGTTCAATTAAAATGGGTGGTGATGGTGGGTGGTGGTGATGGCCCTTTCTTGTGCTTGCAGCAAGAATGCTCTGCTTCTTTCGTTCTTAAACGTTTGTGAGAAATGGTAATGATTGAGGAGATTCGCAATCGTTATTCTTAGTATTCTTACTGCCCGATGCACTTACTCTTTTATATATATACGTAAACTTGGTATACATGTCTATATAATAAAAATATATGTACACTAATATATAACAATGATTAATTACAGAAAATTACAGAAAAATAAACTTTATTAAAATTGTAAGATGTAATCGGTATTTTTTGCATAATCACTTTAACACATAATAAAATTTCAAAAATTATGTAAGAAAGAAAAGCGTATATTATTTGTAAAAGAAATTCTCTATCTAAACTGTATCAATATAAACTCTAACGTTAACATAGCTATCCGCTGAAATTGGTTTTCCAATATCTTAGATACGTGCAATTTTACGCCTGTATATACTACTTTAACTATAATAATATGAAAAAAAGAGACACATTTATACGATGGACGCAATTGAAAAAAAAGATAATTAGAAACGTGAATACATGTTTGTTTCAGGAAGCGAGCGGATGTAACAAAGTTGCAAGAAAAATGAGTGCGAGTGTTAAATGGAATAAGTTTCGAAGAACGTATATCATATATTCCATATTTAAATCATTTCTGTTTCTCGATTGATGAATATAAAGCTCGACGTTACGGCTGATAATATTTTTTCAACGGATCAAATATTTTGATTAATTGTAACGGCAAATATACTTTAGTCACGAATCTCGAAAGTTTCTTCAATAAGATAGAAAAATGAAAGTTATGATGGTGCCGCAGAAAATTGTTTTTCTCAGATAATTTAAAATGTGAAATCGATGCTCGAAGATTATGACCGCGTTGCGTTCTGGTTGATGCATTTTATTGTCCCGATGAGATGATCGAATTGTTAATATATAATAATATGATTCTTATGAAGAATGCTTCGTTTACTTCTGACCAGCCAATCGCATTAGGGACGAACAATTTAATTTGTTCAGTCAATCGTTCGTGTCTACTGACTGAGCTGCGATAGCTGCAGTGGCAGCCTCGAAGCATTGCGGGCATCATGACTCCATTGCAATATAAAGGAGAGCGCGTTTACAATGAGAAAAACTTGATCCGACGGAAATCGCATAGCTGAAGATAAGTGTGAATTCTTCTGTTGCTGTGAAAGCGACAATGTCAACGTTTGCCACAGACACGCTGCTATCGTCCACTACCTTTGCCGAGGAAACGACCACCCTCATACCCACTGTTAACAGGATTGACACACGGTTGCAGGACATCAATCCTGTCTCGGTGGTCCTGGCGGTTTCCATAGTGTGCATTCTCTCGCCTATCATCGTTACCGGTAACTCCATCATCCTAGCCGCCTTCTATAGGTACAAAAGACTCAGGACCGCTTCCAATTGCCTTTTGGTTTCGTTGGCCATTAGCGATTTCGGGGTAAGCCTGTTACTATTGTAACCTAACTGTTCATCATTCTTGTATAGACACAAAAAGCGCGGTGTCATCACGTAAGAAAAGAATACTTTTACATAACGATTAAAGCTTTAATTGTAAAAAATAATATGTATAAGTGTAAATACCGATAATTTATATTTGTGAAAGAAATTTATCATCGTATAGGTATATACTTATTTAACACTGAATCGACGTTACGTTGATTGACATTGACGCGCCTCTCGTGAGATCACGTATATATATCGTCGATAAACTATATAAATCTATTCACGCGCATTTCCTTTTTTTCACGCAGAGCTGAGATCAGAGTTGATACTGCGATGTTCTATATTCTCGCGATGTAAAACTGATTTTTAACAACGCCAATTTCGCATTTTGCGTCTCTTTGTAAGTTCAATTTACGTGCCAATATAGGCCAATATAGTACTCAGTACTCACTCGCGCGACAGCGAACGCATAATCCTCATTTAGATCAGTAATAAATGGACAGTGATAAATGGACCTGTTTTCGTTGGTAGATCGGCGTGTTTATGCCAATTGGGATACAGCTGGAGCTGTCAGGTCTACCGGAAAACGGCGTTTCCGCTCTTTGCATCGTGCCATATTGCATTGCGATCGCGCTCTGCAGCGTGAGCATCCTGGTCACCGTGGCCATCGCGGTAGACCGTTTGACTTCATTAGCGCAACCGTTGCGATATAAAAACATCATTACCCACAGCAGCGTAGAAAAGTACATCGCGGTTTTTTGGATATATGCGATCGCCGTTGGCCTCTCACCTCTTATTTATACTCAAATCATCGGAGGGATGCAGTCGCATAGGTAACGATATTTACTCTATGTTTATACATATTGACATTTAATAAAAAAAAACTTGAATAAATTCCGGTTTGTAAGAATATTACAGCAAATACAACAAGTCTGCAAGTGCGATTCATTTAATAAATATACAAGTGACTTCTTGCATTAATGCACTACGTTGATTTCATATTTCAGAAATTAATTATTATTTAGGATGAGAGAGAAAAATGGAAAACGATAGAGAATTTTGGCAATTTTAGAAGTATTAATCTCAAACTATATATTTAACTTAGGTTTGAATGGAACAAATTAATAAGAACCATTTTGTTTAATCAAAAGTACATTAATACAATATGTGCGCGAATTTTGTTTCTTCATCCTATTTCTTTTTGTTTTATCTTTCATCAATAAACTTTGAAGTGAAAAACTTAAAAAAGAGAAAAACAATAATAACAACGTGATATAACATAATTAATGTAATGTGAAATTTTTAATCGCATCTTTGCTATTTCAAGATTAAGTAATTTGCTTTTATTAAAACGTTCCAAAATAAAATTTATAACTTTATCAGTCAGTTACCAAAATTCGATATTAACTTTGTTCTACGCGAATTGTAATAATTGTATCGACAAACAAAACATGCCTGCGTTTGTTAACATCTCTCTCTGTAATAGAAGGATCGTAATGGAAAATCTCTCTATAGTATATCGAATTACATATGCAGTATTACTATCGCGAAAACAATATTTAAAGTTTACAGAAACAATTTAATTGCGAATAATGAAACTCGGGCCAGATAACTTATTTAAAAAATTATACAACGTTAATATCTCACAGTTAATTAAAATTAAAAAAATTAATTTGTTCTTTGCGTTATCAGTATAACATCGATACTGATTGTGCTGAACGCAACTCTCTAATGCTATATTTCTATAACTATATGTTTCCACTTTCATGTCATTGCTAGAACTCGTGATATTAGCATTCATGGTACGTCACTCATCGTTATCACTTGACGAAACAGAAAAGCTTTTCATACTATCTGTAAGACTGCAGATTGTGCACAAAAACAATTTAAGTAACGCATTAAAAATAGATAAGAAGTTTGACAGGAAATGATTTTTTAACCATTCGATTATACTTTTGCGCAATTAAAGAAAATTAGAAAGATCTTCGATGGATCCCGTTCAGGATCTGTTTATCTCGTGGCGGTCACATATTGTGGACATTACATTTATGAGATACATATTCTACAGATTTATTAAACATGATTTTATTATTGCAGCGCGCATATTTAGTACTTGATCGAATAAACCTTTAATGTTTTTGTAAAAATACACTGATATTTTAACTACAAAAATATTCTATTTTAATTTAATAAACTATTTTAAACAAATAATAATAACAATCAGAAGAAAATAACAATGACATCTAATACTTAAAGGATTTAATATCATAGATTAGATATATCAAATAAATACCATAGTACATGATAATATTTTAATTTTTGTGCAAATAATCTTTGATTTTAATTTATCTTACAGTGGAAATTGTAGATTCGATACGGCCGTGTTACCACCGGTCAGGATATTTCTGGTCGTAGCAGTTTGGGCACCGAGCGCCTTAGTTCTAGTTGGTTGCTACATGTATGTCTATCTTGTTGCGCGTGCACATGCACGCGCGATTTACACCGTAGAATTAACGTTCAGACATCAAACACAGACATTGGCATTGCCTCGTTACGGACAGACGTTGGCAGTTACGGTCGGCGCGTTTCTTATCCTGTGGCTTCCATTCCAAGTAAGTATTGCAGCATGCCTATTACAAAATAGCAAATGAGCTTTTCATTGCTTTGAAAAGACTGTAAACCTTTGTGGTTTAAAATTTTACACCATTGGTGTAAAAGCCAAATTTTTTGAGCTGCGACTGCAGGTTTCTACATTGAGTCTTAGATGACCATTAAAACCTCATCGCTATTTGAACGTCGCGTCATACTTGCGATAACATCAATTTCATTTCACGGCTATCGCCGTGCTATATATTTCCTATATATGCTTTACAGAGATACAAGATTTAAGTCTAATATTTAATGTATTGGGAACATATTTTTGTATAATATTTGATATTGTGCAATATTATGCATTATCTAAAAGCTATATTAACGGTTTACTTTGAAAAATTGTTAAATTAAAGGGGCATAAAAATATTGTACAATATAATTTTATAGTAATATTAACACGTCTCGAAAAGCAGCTTAAGGCAACCTTTGCTCGGCATGTTTCCAACATGTTTCTTCTCTTTTCTAGACTTGCATGCTGGTGGATATTTTCTGTGGCACCAACATTCTGTCGGACTGGACAGTGGTGTGGCTGGGTTTACCGATCCTTGCGCACAGCGGTGTGAACCCCTGGATCTATGCTTTTCATCATGGTGAGATGCGCATCGCCGCTGGAAAAATTGCCGAAGATCTGGTCGCTCTGTTTGGTGTGACACCAGGCCGTTACGGTTGCTCGCCGATAAGATGCGGCACCAACACGAACCTTGAATTGGCCGAAGTGAATAATGAAGAGAGCAACGAAAATAGGCGACATTCGCCCATAGAGAATTGTTTTGCTGCCGCCAAGCACCACAACGTTCTTTACAGCAGAAGATGCCTGGAAACATCGGAAAGGCACACCGATATCTCACCCGAGAAGCATGACATCGAACACGTTGCATCATACAGCAATCAACCGCCGAGCGACATCATCGAAGAAAACGTGGATCATCACGACCTGACGAAGATGCTCGATCCAAGATATATCATTGATCGGAATCACGTTATCGACTCCAATCACAATATCGACAAAATAAAAAATTTCAAATATTTGCTGGATCCAACCTTTAACAAAATCCGGCATCTCCGACGATTGAATCACAAGCGAATAAACGGGAAAAATTCACTGTTGATTTCCGAGCCGAAATTTATATCTTATCAGAACTTGAAGAGCGACGGTGCACACAGCAGTCGTAAGCTTCTTCAGCTGAATGCCCTGTCGGATCCAATACTAAATGTTGATACTACTTCTATAGTAGACATGAAGAACTCGAACCAAGTAATGTGCCGCGTAAATAACGTTGCCTATCAGAGACGAAATCCAAATTTGTCGACCATGTCAGATTCGAATCTCGGAGCAGCAACAGCCGTGCATGCTTCTGAGGCGGGCACGAGGCTCTTTCCAACGAGTGACAACAGTGCGGAAAGTCGCGGCCACTCGGTGCAAAATCTTAATCGCGGATATGAGGGCGCGTTAGCAAGGCACGCGATGATGCTCTGTCGACAGATGGAGGATCAACAGAGGAAAATCTCTAGCAAGACTTGTTCCCGTCCACGACCTAAGTTCCGCGGCTATTTCGGACATGTGAGTCCGAATCTGAAGTACAGGCTGCGAAACGGCTGTTGCTCATCCGCCTGCGTCTCATCGTCATCGCGGGCGTCCGATAACGTCAGACCAAGCTACGAGGCGAATGCATCGAAGCAAAGAGTGTCCCCGGCTGCAGGCGTTTCGCAGCTAACTATCACGTCGAACAAATTAGCCAATCTCATTGATCTAGACCTAGACTCACCATTGAGAAATGCACGCACATCCGCGACGCACATGATCAATTTTACTGCCAGAACCGTGGCGCAAACACATTATAGGAATTTGGAGGTGTTGAAGCACTCCGAATCGATTAACGCGATCGGCGATTCGACGACGCAACGTCGGATTCTATTGGAGCCTTCCAACTTGATGGATTCATTGATTGTCCCGACAATACGCTCGGAACCGCCGAGTCCCATAGATCCTCTTCCTTCGGCGTCTCCTCGGGCCGAAGAATTAGCGCAGAATCTCAAGATCCCAAGATCCGTCGTGGCCGCGGACGCCGTCATCGCACAAAATCGACGGGCTAAACTACCTTTAGATAAAAACAGTAGCAGTCCTGTGAGACAATCCGTTCCTACTACAGTGGCTACAGTACCGACCGTGTTGCTAAATATCGAGGACTTGAGCGAATCGACCGGACAGGCCGGTGACAATCAGATTCAAATTCATCAGAGTCAAAGGAGCGACTTTTCTGCATCTGGTAATACAACGTTGGAGCCGATCGATCTTTTCGAGGCACTGCTGAGGAATTCGGACAAAGCTGGCAAGGACATGAAATTACCAGAACCCATCTTTGCCGAGCACGATTCCACGAGGTTCAGCTCAAGACGACCATCTGATTCAAAGTGGTCTGAGTCTTCCAGGAGCCAAGAAGTCTTATCAAGCACGATGGAACACCGAGCTGCATTCCCGTCGTTTTATTCGGTCAACGACTTTCAGACTTGCAATAGCGGCAGCGATCTCAACGATCTCACGTCCTTGGATCCGTTCATGTGTCCTGATGCCTTGACATCATCCTTGCACGAATCCTTCTTTAGCGCGCCGTCCATGCCCGATTCGGACATATTCACGTCATTCGAAGAAAGCGACGAGCCGGTCTTTACGCCTGATTCCGAACGGGACACATTGCAGGCATATAATTCGATGTCGACAGTAAATTTGAAGAGATGTGTCATTGAAGCGGCTTTCCAAAGCAAATCTACGGAATCGGTGCACCGCGTCAAGTGTCCTTCGACACGATCCTGCACGATACTCAGACTAGAACCAGCCGTGCATTCGAGTAGATTGAGCATCAGACCTTGTGCGAATTACATCCTGAAGGGCCCGACAATCAAGAGGAACTCACGATTGGCACCCCTTGCCATCCCCACACCCACTGACATCTGCACTCCAACGTTTGACGTCGTATCGGAGATCAAAAGTGATAACGCCGGTATCGGCGTCAGAGTTTAAATTTAAATTAAGTTCACAAGATAAATGGGAGTTTGCAAATTTCCTCGCGTCAGCTGCAGTTTGCATATCTATATTTGCACAAGAAACATTTATCACAGTCGCCATTTATCGAACTTTATTCTCAAAAGAATTTGAAAACCTTGCGGAAGTCTCTATATTAACTCCAGGATAAAAAGAATCCGAATACGCAGAAGTTAAGGTATATACGCAGTTTTTAATGTTTTTATATGCTAAATCGCATATGCGCTATGAATTGGCAAATTAAATATAATATAAAATGCTATTGCCAAATGATACGTCACGTGATGTGTTTATAATTATTTAATTTCTTTTTTATTCACAATGTGCTATTTGATGATGCAACCAAGTTGCTCGTGTACATGTAATTTGTTGTTATACATTTCTTCGAAAGAGGCAATATTTGCTTTAAACTACTTAACATGTATGACTATTTGTACATATACAACTCTTTTATTTACACTTTTATATTTTTTTTCATCTTTTACAATATACTTGAAGCTTTTTTCTCTTATGTAGAAATATATCAAAGTATAGTTTATATTTTTAATCTTTGAAATAGTTGAAATAATTAATCTAAATAATTAATTTGCATCAAATAAGATCATATCCTTGAGAACTCGGCACATCGTTTTGTTGAAGCTCGATGCTTCTTCGCTGAAGCTTAATTTTGAAAGTTCGGTGTTCTTAATTAAAGGCGCGCGGTTTTGATTATCAGATATGTATGGCGCTACATATACTATATTCACTATATTTTCACTGTATAAAAGCCTTATTTATTACGCTGTAGGAAATCATGAAAGAATTTCTAAACTAATTAATAACCAATGTGCAGTCTATCACATTGGACTCTTTGACTCTGCAGGAGTGCAAAGCGTTTTCAAAATACACTTTTGATGTAATAAGAAAATAGCTAATTATGATTAGTGTTGCTTTTCGATCAACTTTTCACAATGACCGTGTTTTAATAAACAATGTTTGATGTAAATAAGAACGATGCCCAATTTATATCATCGAACAATAAATCATCATTTTATCTAAATGAATGATATTTAATAATTTAAGCTAATAATTTGTTTATTCATTCGCTCGAGTTTTTACCAATAAATAATGTTCCGCCTCAAATACGAAACGTTATTTGTCGTATAGAAGTAAGAAAAAATTCTCTATGCGATTCAATTGTATTATCTGATACGTTACACACATTGATATGTAAATATGAATGCGCGATTGCGATTATATTTTACGAATCAATTTCTCGTAATCTGAATCAAACAGTTATTTAAAAGTTTCGCACATCTCATGTGCCAAACAAATTAATTATATTGAATTTTAAGTTTCGCAGGTCATCATATGCCCGTATATTATTGCTCGTGTACCTGATGAAAGATTATATATACATATACGTATGCACACGTATACACACACGCGCGCGCGCGCGCGCGTGTGTGTATAATTGGAAAAGACTTTGAAAATATATTGCGGAATATTTACTGAAATATTTTTTAATAAAATGTATAACTAATTAAAATCTAATATAATTTTACGGATAGCACAATTATTGTGTTTTTTTATAATAAAAAAAAACGAAATTTTGTATTCTCATTCGGTCTGAGCCTATTTTTGCACGAGTCATTTTTTCTTATATAAAATTTTTTTACAAATAATATTTTGTTAAAATTTTGCTAATAAGGAGAATAATATGTATAATATGTACACTGGTTAAAAAAAAATTAGGGGATCACTTTTTCTCAGTAAATTTTTGCGGTTGCGACACTTTTTATTTATAGGTTTTAAAACGCACTAATATTTTGTAAATGCGAACCACAATTGGTGTTATACTGTCTCTAGACTAATGATAGTACATCGTGGTATTTGCAAATATTAGATACTTATAAAATATATATTTTGTATATTAAATATATATTAAAAATCTATAAAAAAAAGTGTCGCAACCGCATTCTGTCCACGACTGTACACTCGCTCACTAAAAGGTTGCGACACATTTTTTTTATAGGTTTCTAATTTATATTTAATATACGTAATATATACTTTATAGATAACTAATATTTTGCAAATGCAAACCACGATGTACTATCTCTGTCTCTTATACACAGTCTGACACCAATCGTGGTCCGCATTTGCAAAATATTAATGCGTTTTAAAACCTATAAAAAAGAAAGTGTCACAACCTTTTAGTGAGCGAGTATACGTATATATATAATTTTCAAGGAGAATATATGCAAATTTAATTTGTTTATGCTTTATCAGAATTAGAAATCTTTTTCTTAAATTATGCGAAATCTATGCGACACTTTTTTTTCTCTTAAAAATGAGACATATAAATGCACAATGGCCAGTTTGTAAAATCGTATTAAATATAATTGATAAAATAAAAATTGGGATTGTTGAAGATAAAGATGTGTATAGATAAATAAAGAGAGAGAGAGAGAGAGAGAAATCAGACAAATATTAAAATATATACATTATTTCTATTTTACAATTAGAGAAAAGGACCAAAACTAAAGTAAAAGCATAAATAGAGATAAAGAGAGAGCGAATGAGAGAGACAGAGAAATTAGGCAAATATATATACGGTTATTTATATTTTAGAGAAAAGGACCAAAATTAAATATAAGCGTACATTTGAAAAAACAATCAATAGCGAGTTAAATACATAATCGTTCTACAAGCAATTCAATTACTGTATGTTATTTTCCTTACATCATTTCATTACATATCACGCACTGCAGTTATTATATCATTTCCATTCTTCTGCAACTATCTTTAAAGATTTTTAATTTTATTTGTTACATCGCCACAAAAATTATTTTATTACAAATTAATACACAAATGATAAAATTATCTAGGGAATAGAAAATGTGAAAATAATCACACTTCTTACAACTATAAATGCCAATTAATATTAAAATACTTTTATACATACCAGTAATTGAGAAAAATGGTGCATAAATGTACATTTTTTTTATCATAGGTATATATCCTCTAAAAAACATTTTTAAAAAAGCGAAAGAAAAGAAAGAATGTGTGCATGGAAATTTTCTATACTTCATGTACCTATAACGATGCCCTTGCACTTGAAATAATTTAAGAACCAAAACATTAAGGAAATTTTACATATAACACATCCACATATATTAACATATGTTAATATGCAAACATGCACAAGTGCAGACTAAGTAAAAATAAGGATATATATTTCTTTTCATATTCAAGTTGACTGATCTTGTGCGATTTGTCTTTCATATCGTACAGGTATATAAAATATTATAAATAGATATTATAATCTATCAAGATAATATAGATTTGTCTGATTTTTTCTATTTTGTAAAGTGATAATAACAATTAGCGTATGATGAATGTTTTCATAATTAATAATGATTTCTTTCAAAAACATTTTAAACTCTTTAAACGTATTGTATACCTATTAATTGTGCAGAAAAGGTATTCTCTCGAATCGAATTTGAAAAAATAAAACATTAAAAAAAGCGAATGTTTAAAGAACATTGAAAATGTTTATGTTGATTTTTTAGGTAGCAGTTGATTATTATGTTATAACAATTTATAAGCAGGGTTGGGTAATGCTTAATTAAAAAGTTAAATAATTAAATAATTATAACTTAATTTAGTTACATTTTAGACTGATCGTAACTTTTAACTTAATTTAGTTATCATTTTATCGCGGTAACTATTAATAACTTTTAATTTAACTTTTTTGAAGTTGCACGTGTAGTGTTTCTCATGTTCTCATCAAACCCAAGAAAAAATACATATCTGCGTCGGTATTTTGAATTTGAGGCGTACGTCAAGGTTATATTTATATTAATATAACAAATATAGTATATCTAGCAGGAAAGAATCGCGGGCCTTCTATACGTACATATTGAATCGTGTTACAAGAAGTCCCTTGAAATTATGCTTTTTTTCGCGGCCCGATGGAAATAAATATAACAAATGTACTTTATTTAGAGACTCCAAAATTATGAAATAAAAAAATTTAACTTTTCAATTACTTTTTTATTAATTTAACTTTTAATTTAATTAATTTTATTATGGCTTAACTTATATGTTATAACTAACATAAGTTAAATTTTTAAGGTTGTTAACTTTAACTTTAACAATTAAAATTAACTTGCCCAACCTTGCAATTAAGATAAAAAGATTACATTATTTATTATATATATACATATATAGCGCTAAAATTTTTGTAACTTTTTTTTATAAAACACGTACGTATAATATACAAATTTTATAGAAGTAAAACTCGAGTCACAAAAGTGATAAACACTGATATATTTTTAATATCTGAAGTATCTTTATTGTATGTGTCTGTGCTGTACGTGCAGGATGTGCGCGCGTGTGTGCGTGGATATATATATTGTTTATATGTCAAGTGTGAAAGTAAAGTCTTAATTCAACACGCTTAATGCAACACGACTCTGATTAGATTAGTTAAAAAAATTAAGGAAAAGTGTTCCTTGTTCTTTTTATATTATATGAATATGATTTTGAAATAAAAATACTGTTCTTTCCATTATCTAATTCTAATAAGTATAAAAACGTAAAACACCAAGAATTGAAGTATAGATTCATAAAAAGATAAATTTTAACTTTACCATCATCTTAGAAAAAAATTATCCATATATACTATGTGTAAATACGTGTGTAATTTTTTCTTTTATATATTCCGCCTAAAGGTCAAAGAAAGAAGACAAAATTGAATAAAATGAAAAATAAGTGTTAATATTAATTGTTATGTAAAATGTAAAGAGATATAAATCGAAAATAAACATATAACATTGAAGCAAATTTCTTTTGTATTATGCTAATGTTTCGATTTAATAAAAAAACAAATTTTTATTTCAGAAATACTAATATATAATAATAATTTAACAAAAAATTAGAATAGTATAATGATAACTATTATATTATTTAATTATTGCAATGGTGTCAAATCATATAATATTTATTGTTATTTTTGTGAAAACATGGATTAACATGGTTAAAAATTATAACGTAGAATCGAAAGTGTGACGAAAAAATTATTATCACATCAATAATATGTACACACACACACACACACACACACACACACACATACAGAATATATTATTCTTAACAACTGTAGCGTTATTAATTAGCG